CAATAAATCATATTAACAACCACCCAGTCCTATTGCACCAGTGTGGATATGTTACATGTTGTGCCGGCCTTGCAAGTACATCGTACTACACAGGGGTGGGTTCTACTTACCTTTACCACCGGTTTGCAATGGGATCGCGTGTGCACGCTTGCTTTGTGCACACGCCTTGCTTCTGCGCATGTGCAGATCGCTGATGATGACATCCGGGGCAGTGGGTGGGGCCTCCCACCAGTTTTACTACCTGTTTTTGCGAACCTACCCGATCATGGGACAACCCACCACTGGTACTATGCAGTTATGACGTTATTCCACATTCAGGATTCTGACAGTCCATGGATATTCATATGATTTTCTTAGCAAACTACAAAGGTGATTTGCCATTACCTTCTCCCACACAATATGAAATGATGCCTTTGCCATTGTCATTAAAGTGATCTTCTGCCTCCACTTCCTATATCCAGCGACTTCCTTTATCACTACTCTCCAATGAGGCCCCTTCTTGCTTTATCTGGGATGATCTTCATGCTCTGGGTAACAGAGGATGGAATTATACAGTGGTGCTCCAGAACACTCTCTCCCATAAATAGACAACATAGCAGGATTTGATGGGATAAATACTCACTAACATATGTATTACAGCTCTTCATGCTTTGAAACAAATTCAAAATATTATTTTTTATTATCTGAATTATTCTTTGGAGCTCAAACAAGTGCAGTAACTCTTGTTATTAATTAAAATAATCTTAAAAAAAAAACAGGGTTCTGTACAAGCCTGGAAAAATGTCCTATTTTAATGAGTCATCTTATAGAAATTAATGAGACTTTTAAAGCAGCAATATCCTTTTTTTTTTCATGGTTGATTGTTTGTTTATGAATAGCAAAGAGACACTGTGCCCACATTAAGTCTGTCACAATCTTACACACACATACAAGCTTTTGCCTAATATTTACTTATTTTTACATTTGCATATTGATTTATGGAAAATCTGAAAATCTTAACCATTGGCAAACAATTGTGCCTGGCTAAATACATGCATAGTGTTTTTCGTGCAAATGAAAAATCTTCAGTTTAGCAAAACATTTAAGCTATTAGAAAGTGAAATATATAAATTGCTGCCTTAAATTATATAGCATGAGAATTAAAATTAAAACCAGAGAAAAGCCAGAGAAGGACAGATAGGGTTGAGGTCATTCAAATAAAAAAAAACCTCTTCCAGAGCTCAAAAGATATTTTTTTTCAGAAGTGGGCTGAGAGTAGAGGTGTCCCTCTCTAGATCACCAGAGATTTTACAAAGAAATGTAAAAAGCAGTTATAAATGCTGAAGTCAAATAGATATAAGAAAGAACTCACTTGCTCTCTTGAAGTACAAGTATTAGACAAACTAACGGGGAACAAGCGTGTAAAAATAGAATTCCTGAAATCAAGTAAAGCTCTGATTATGGGCCTCCAGCTATTAATCTCCACTTGATATCCATCCATGAATGTCTGAAGGCTGGAGATACAAGCCTATAATTGTATTACTAGATACAATATGATGGGCAATAATTATGCTGATCAGGATTATGATGCATAAGATAATTTCAGAGGAAGAACTGTTTTGGGTGTGTAAAAGAAAAAGAGTTTTTAAGAAAGGAGATGACATCTATTATCATATCCAAATAAGAAATAGCTTTAATGAGAAACACTTAAAAAATTTAAGATATAGTTTTGAATCTATAACAAAGAGGCTATACATTCCCTAAGAACTACTGCATGTTTTGTTGACTGACATAAGCTAAACTGAAAACAAGTTCATAAAAAACAGAAATTCATACAAGTTTTATATCACCCATAGTTGTTAATTCCGCATTATCCAATTGTGGGATAGAAAAGAACAAAAAAGAACAAAAAATCATTATGCTACAAATATAATTATGATAACAAATAACTTAGTGAAATAATAGTAGCAAACTCAATCAATTTAGCTTCTGTACAGTTAGAAGAAAAATGTAATTTGGGTTACTGGCCAAGATGGGCAAGAATAAACTGCAAATATGTAATTCTTGAACAGAAACTTTTTAAAAAATATATTGTGTATAGACTTTTAAAATTGCTAGAATCATTGTGAGCATTTAATTTATACCTGAATTGATTGTATTATCTAAAATCTCCCTCTCTGGTCTCTACATTATCACCAAATGCTTTGATTTTCATTTGTTATCTACTAAAAACAAGAATAGAAAACTATATGGACTGGTCCCCTTCAGCTACTATTTCACCATGCATGTAATTAACATTCTTTGTTAGACTATGCATACATAATCAAGTTATCTACATTAGTTTCTGCAAAAAAAAATAGGGATTATAGAAAATTTGAAGATACATTTCTTTGACACATCTAAAAATTATTCTTCTACCAACCCAACACTTGAGAAGATATGAAAAGTTGAGAAAAAACAACAATAAAGAAAAACTTAAAAAATAAGCCAAGAAATATAGGTTATTCCAGCTATATGATTAAAAACAGCAGGCTGAACATTTGCTGCAGTAAAATCAGAAAATAATATTAAAAGCCTGAAAGAACCAGTCTTAACTGTCTCTGTAAAACATAATTATGAGTAGAAGGTGGCCTGATTTCTGTAGGAAGTGTTCCATGATCATGGGGTGTTAAAAATATTCTGTACTGAGTAATCACCAGTCTAATATTTGTAACTAGTACATGATAGTATCATAACAATCACTAATAATAAAAAACCCAATAATTTTGTTTGCCTATTTTATAGATTAAGCACTAGAGCAGTATTATATACAAGAGTGGTACATGGTTGTTAGTGTCCCACTATTCATTTTCAGAATTTCCTGTTGCTCATTAACTTAAACCTGTTCAAAAAATGGACTAATGAGTAACAGAAGATGAAAAAGCAAAAAGAACAGCAGAAACCAAAGGAAGGATTGAGCTATAGCATTGCCCTATAGCTTATTTTGGGCTACAGAAATAACACACTAAAGAGTAAAGTAAGGGTGATAGCTGGGATACCCAAGGAGTGACTAGACTGTTTGGTATTTACCTTCAGCCTCCAGAGCAATTTGTATGCTAGTTCTGGTAGAGAAATCAAGCAGAATTTATAGCCCATTCCTACTCTGGAGAAAAACTGCCAAAGTGAGCTTGCTACATCTAGTAGCTGACTGATTTCTAAAGTGTCTGATAAAGGAATCTAATACAAACTTTTTTGTATACATTTATATTGGAACTACAGGTTCAGTATTTAACTTGTTATTATTAATATGTGGTTGCCAAGAATCAGCAATGATTTGATGGCACATAATCAATCAATTGGTTAGGTGATTTGGTTTTTTGTTATTATTGGTGGTTTGTTATTATTGGTGGTTTGTTATATTACTTGAAGTGTTATATGGGAACTACTTTCTTTAGGCAATAGTAGAGAAGTAGCAAACAAAATAACAAAAGTAAGTAGCCTCATATCTATTTTATTTATTCAATAGAGATTTGACCTATGCTCTGTATTTTGTTTTCTTAAATGAAATGTTTCTGGCTTCCTTAATAAATTTCTCTATGGACTGCCAGTGCGAATAATTAATGCCATCTTGTTCTAAAACAAACATTTTTTGGACCAAAAGGAATGATTCTTCCAGCTGTTTCTTATGGATACTCACCATAGAATCATTTATAGATCTGGGTCTGGGAAAAGTTTAGTTATAATATATACAGATGTTACCATCTTCTGATATGTATGTATGAATGCCAATTTTGAATAATCTTGTCCCGGAAACTTGGGTCAGAATAGGTTTTTCTTTCAGCATGTACTGATTATTATGGTTTTTTTAATTTATTGTTAACTTTTATTATTGCCTTCAAACATGCTAATTATTACCTTCAAACCAGGGGTGAAATCCAGCAGGTTCTGACAGGTTCTGGAGAACCGGTAGTGGAAATTTTGAGCAGTTCGGAGAACCAGTAGCAGAAATTTTGAGTAATTTGGAGAACCGGCAAATACCACCTCTGGCTGGCCCCAGAGTGGGGTGGGAATGGAGATTTTGCAATATCCTTACCCCAGGAGTGGGGAAGGAATGGGGGTTTTGCAGTATCCTTCCCCTGGAGTGGGATGGGAATGGGGATTTTGCAGTATCCTTCCCCTGCCATGCCCACCAAGCCATACCACACCCACCAAGCTATGCCCACAGAACCGGTAGAAAAAAAAATTGGATTTCACCACTGCTTCAAACATGCTAATATATAACCCAAGTATCTTTTTCCACCATTGTATAGTGTGGCTTAAGGCTTTATGCCATGCTTTGATATCAACAGGCATAGCTCAACAGACACTGGAATACAGTCTGGATATGGGTTAACTGAGAAAAATACATGTTCTTATGGTTGGTCATTAATGACATATAGTTTGATGCAACCTTCCCTCATCTGGTGTCCTTTTCATGTTAGGATTACACATTCTACTTGCAAAAACAATGGTATCTCTGAAATGCAGACTACTACATATTAGAGCATTGTAAAACAAACTGTGCCAAAGAATGAAATAATCACTATCTGTCTGCCACTTTTCATATTCACCAGCTTTTGGAAGCTTATTCTACCACCGAAAAATACAGTCATCTTTTAAAAAACCACATGGATCTTGTTTAAAAGGCAGTTACCCTTGCTTAAAAGCCATGTGCACCTAGCCTAAAAGATAACAGGGGGATCCATGATACCACGGTGCTTAAAAATGCAGTTTGTACAACAATGAAATGAGTTAATAAACTATGCTAACTGGCAATAAGCACAAGCAGTAAACTGAAAGGGCCTCAGAATATCTTTCCCCAGTAGCAAATTATGCACGAATCAATTCTCATAATGGCTGCAAATGCTGGAGTTGCCAGATGATAAATCAGAGTGGGAATTTGTAGCCCTACCCAGATCTCAAACTGCCTGAATTTAGGCAACTGTCAGAAAATATTAATAGCCTCGGGTCCTTTTATTAAGTTGTTAGTACAACAGACCCACCTCGGCAGATGGTCCCATTCCCCACATATCCAGGTTTACAGGTGCAGCGGTGTCCTCTGATTGTATTGGTACAGATTGCATTCTCATCACAGTTGTGCTGTCCACTGTCACATTCATCACGCTCTACAGAAGGAAAAAAAACAATGCAAGAAAATGTAAGGGAGAGGAAAGGTAGAATAAATTTTCAGCGTGCTGATCTGACATTTCAAAAGTCATTTATAACTAATGACTCTATTGCTGAGACAGCTGAACAGCACAAAAGAGACATTCAGTGAAGAAATCTGACATCAAGTCCATTTCAGGTTATGATTTATACCTGGTCATCTCATGTATTTGAGATATGGGGAAAGACACTACCTGATAAAAGTATTAGCAAAGTAGAAGTGAGTAAAACAAAATGTTGAATACTGAATTATTTCCAAAGCATCATTCATCATGTTAATGATGCTACATGTTACTCATTAGATCAACTTACAATGTGTCTAGGACACATTTTTGTATACTGCATTTGGGTCCTTGTTTAGAATTAACAATATCATCTCTTTTACCTTCCTTTGGAACATAGAACCTGGTAGGGTGGCCTCAATTTTAAGTAACATTAATATTTTATTTGATTCAATGAATTCGGAATAAGTATGTTTCCTGAAGCTCAGATAGGACCAACTATGCCAAAGGGGTTTAAAGACGAATTAGGGAAAAGAAACATCTTCTCACTCCATTTTAAGGTCTATGGATATTCTCAGTCATCCAAGTCATGGTTGTCCCAAAGGTGCTTTTTCAAGAGGCAACTGGACTTTCTGTTTTTTCTTTGGAGATGTTTCGCTTCTCATCCAAGAAGTTTCTTCAGTTTTGAAGAAGCTTCTTGGATGAGAAGTGAAACGTCTACAAAGAAAAATTAGAAAGTCCAGTTACCTCTTGAAAAGAATCCCATCTTTGGGGCTCCATCTCAAGATAAACTTTCTTAAACTGGCTGGCATATACAGCATATCTACCTTTTCTAATTACATCAACCATAATCTTTTAATAGGAGATACCAGCTTGCATGTTACTGTAATGTTATACTGTATCTAGCAGCTTTATTTATTTTGCATCCTAATAAAAATGCAACTGTAGTACATGTAAACTGGTACCACAGAAGGGGAATTTTCTCTGCTGCTTTCTCTACTGTGATTCCAAACCCCAGTGAATCTCCTTTGACAACAAGTTGTATTGTCAAAAATGAATCCATTCATTTTATGACCTGTTTTTGGATGTATACTTATTGGTGCTGAAGGTCCAGCTGGTAGCAAGGAAAACAAATGAAAAAAGCCAACACTCCTTGCAACCTATTTTCTTTTCACTAAAGGGACACAAAAATAGTATAACTATTTTCTATGTCTTTAAAGTTGGGTAGTTTTAATTGAAACCTAAAGCCGAAATCATTATGGCTTCATTTCTAATAAAACAACAATTACCAATTTTTTTTACAGTTGAACTAAATATCCACTTTTTAATTTATACAGTATTATATATACCACCCAATTTCATGGACTCATGGTGGTTTTCAAGAAACACATCATTCCAAATATACAGAACTTAATAGAAAAGGAGATAATAATTTGCTAACTAATAACAACTTATGACAGCCCTAATACTATTAGCACTCAATGGTCTACAGAACAGCCAGATTTTAAGCATTTCCTAAAGGCCAGGAGGTTAGGAATACCTTTGAAACATAAACTGTTCCAAAGCATGAGGGCAGCAACTAAAGGGGTGCATTGCAGGCCCATTCATGCTTTAAGGGGTTGGGATCCTTAGCAAACCTCTATGCTAGAATTCATAGGGTGAGACAAATCTTAATAGGAAAGGTGGTCTGGCTAGTACCAAGAGGCAAGCCATATAGGGCAGGGGTCTCAAACTCAAGGTCCACGGGCCAGATCCAGCCCATGGGGTGCTTAGATCTGGCCCATGGGGCCACCCTGGAAACAGCGAAGGACCAGCCCATGGTGCCTCGTGGCCTTCCCAACCTCCATTTTCACTGGCAGAGGGTTACAGGAGGCCCAGTTAAAAACAGAGCTCGTGAGGGCCACACGCAGCCTTCCCAGGCTCCATTTTCACTGGCAGAGGGTTACAGGAGGCCCAGTTAAAAACAGAGCTCGCGAGGGCTCCATTTTTGTAGGAGGCATTGTGTGATGAGGGGGTGATGAGGCATTGTGTGATGAGGGGGTGAGCCAATTGTCAGAACCACATTTCTCATTACTTAGCAACATTTTGAAAAGTAAATGTGGTCAGCAAGCAAAAACGTGTTACAAATCTCATACTGATCAGGACTTAATACTGTAGTATTCCTATAGCTAAGCCTATTGCCTTTCAAAATGCATCTGCAGAACAATTATTATCTCAAAGGTAGCTGCTGTTATTGCTGACTTCCTATTGAGGGCAGTTACAGATTCCTCTAGTGCCTCACATTGCTTTGACTTTCATTCAGATTATGAATATCCATTTATTATGTGAATACTGTCAGCTTGGTAAGGATTCAGCAGATAGTAGCAGAGGTTTTAGAATATACATTATACAAGGGCGAGAATAAATGGCTTCAAGTTTCCAACTCAGGAAAGAAGATTAAGTGGAGCTATTAGAACAGGTTTAAAACTATATATATCAAATGCCTATCATGAAGAAGATATATTTTTTTCTCCCTTGTCACTACAAGAGCAACATGACACACCCAAACTGAAGAGTAACAGCTAGAGAAGAGGCAGGTCGGATATATGAAAGCAAGCCTCAAAATTGTACCCCATGGACTAAGGACCAAGCAGCTGTGGAAACTGATGGAATCTTTATTAACAGAGATTATTAGAGAAAGGCTTAGGGTATCTCTGTCTTTAGGTACGATATTGCAACAAAATGCTACAGCAAACCTCTGAAGGGAAGAGGGAAGAGCATCTCATCCAATTGTGTATTATGACTCAATTGCCATAGGAAATTTGAAAGGGTACATTATGAGATGGCAACTAAAATTATTTTCAGACCTGTCGTGCCAAAAGAGTTAGATAAAAAGTATGCAATTCACCATTCCTCCTGAGGGCACTTGTGGGCACTTAAGCAGCAAATTTCATTTACTTTGCAATCAGTTCTTTTATATTTCTTTCAATGCCCAGTTTAATACAGCAGTTATACATCTGGGGCACTCTACAGTCCTGGTCTATCTGGATTACTTTTCATCAGAGGAAGAAAAGGCAAATGTCCAGCAATCTCTAGCTAACTTAAAACAAACAGCAGGAAAGCGGACAATCTAGTTCTGGCTTTCACCACCCAGTGCAACAAATCATGGGTGATATCATTGATGTATGACATGATTTTCTCCCTCATTTTCTAAAAATGTCCTCAATTTAGCTCACTATTTGCTCACTATTATGGCCAAGCGAGGAAATCAGAAGAGCTGAATGCATAGACTCATTTATATTTTCGATTAAGCTGAGACCCTTATGTAGACAGGACTAGTTGAGGAAAGGACTCCACTGGAAGAAAAGTGGGGGGCCTTCAATGGTACAACAATTCTAGTAGCAACAGGGAAGAAAAAATATTTTAAAGAATCCAAGGATGGCCCTTCCAAATTAAGACTGTACAGATGTCTCTGTCCACTTGTATCACAGATCGCTGGGCTTTGGTAAAAGTATATATGAATAAGCTACTACTACTGTCAGAACCATGAACTTGTTTGGGTCTTGGGTTGTTCATTTTGTTAATCAGAACAGCAGGCAATATGTTTTAAACTGCTCATCAGCTCATCCTTCTCACCGGTTAATTAAAAAGGAATCCAAGTTTTTGCTCAAGGCAGGAGGAAAGCCGATAACCAAAATCTAGTCACTTTGCTCAGTCTTTTCCCTTTTCTCATCTTGTTTATGCTCTCTTTTGTTAGACCTGTCCACCTTATATTTCCCCTCCCCCATTTTTTTTTTTCCAAAATAGAATTAGCAATGCATTTGCTTCAGGCAGAAATCTCTTATGAAATTATTCCTCTCTAGGAAACTCCATTTCTTCCTTTCTCCTTACTCCCTCTCTCTCTCTTTTGGGCTATGCTGTCTTCTTTTCATCTCTGTCCGTAACTAAAGTCACAAAGATGAAAGGCAGAAAGGGACAACCTTTCTAACTAGTCTTTTTGCTAATTCCAGAGAAAAATGAACAATGTGGTCCTCAAGCAAGGATCTTCCACTGAAATGCAGCCCTAGGATTTACTAAAACTTGTAAGAGCTCAACCAATCCCATCCAGGATGTTGCTTTATTAGACTTTGGAAGCACAGTCTTCTTATATCCCTTTAGTAGCTTTTGTCTCCAAAAGATCATGATTTCAGTACATCAATGGGCAAACTCAGCCAAAGTTGTTATTCAGGGATCATTTCCTTACCTTTCTTTCCATCCAACTGTTGGAACTAACACTGAGCTTCGAGGGCCAGAATTCTAACCACAAGCTGTAAAAGATATGATTCCCCTCCTCTATTCAATTATCTCTATTTTATATTCTATTCCCAATTAGCCCAGTCGGGCTTTTGAGTGCATGGCAATAAGGCCAAGCGCTTATTTCAGGATTCAAGAGAATATAAGACAGGGTCTTATTTTCAGGGAAACACGGTACATATTTTTTTCATGAATAAATCATTGTAAGGTAATCTATTTCAATATTTTAAGATAATGTAAATAATTTTAAGGTAGTCAATTTCATTTCAACTATTCCTATATTTCTGATCTTTATTTAAAATGATTATAAATTGAGGGAAGAATTTGATGTGATGTGCACAACAGGACAGTAATGCCACCAACTGTGTACTAAATTTTTTATGCTTTAAAACTGATCCACAGACAGCCTATATATCCATGTTTTCATACAGTTTCCTTCTAGGGTATCTCAGTAACAATCAGTTGACAATCAAGCTCCTTAAAAATAAAAATGGCAACATTTTTGGAACTCTTAATTTACAATGAATACTTTCCCAAGATAATTTGTTCTTTTATAGTATTTTGCATCATAGAATTCAATAAGTAATTTGTCCTTGATTTCAAAATTTTCATGAAGCCATCTCCTCATAGCCACTTGTTCTATCTAGAATGATTTTTACCTCAGCTTGATCAGTATGATTTCTGAG